AATAATAACAATTTAGTGGTCTAAAAATTATATAAACGTTTTCTCTAAGCTCATCCATTTAAACTATATTTCAATTTCGTATTCCAAACAATTTACTTTCTCTGATGAACAATTCAATCTTTACTTTGCTAGTTCACTAAAATTAAGCTTATAAGTCTGTAAATAATCAAGTATAAAACAACAAAATTCATAGTAAACTCGACAAGCATGGACATTCTCGCTTTTTTCAAATATTTGGTCAGAAACCATCTGCATGAAATGTTAAAAAGTTCTAGGTTCGACTTCCTCTTTTTATAGATATTGTAAGATTTGTTTAAGATAGCGTTCTTATGAAGTGAGTAGGGTTAAGTTTGCTGAAATCAGTGAATTAAATATTTATTGATAGATGATGCCTATTATTACAATAGGGGCAATTAGTAATTGTTGGTGATAAAAAATTATCGATGTAAGTCTTTTAATGAACTGTTATTAAACCCAGCATGACAGATTAACAAACATTTATATACCAAAAGCGAAGCATAAAACACCGTCACTAGAAGTTACTTGAAATATGAATAATTGGAGGTTGTGGATTTCATGTTACCTAATTTCTAATGTTTAAAACATAGTACATGCGGTGGCCACATCGCAACTTCATCGATAGGATTCGATCTGTTCTAGGAAGGAACTGGAATACATGACATTGATCACCACCCAGTGATTAATCAATTATCTCGGTCCTACAAGAGCTCAGTCGCAACCAGGATAGCTCAGTTGCAACGTCTCTGACTATGAAGATGGATGACACGGAATCGAATCCGTCAGGTAGCATCAGTTCGCTGAAGATTACAGGTACACCTAACTGACTAGTGCCATGTAACAAGAAATCTAGGTCCATGATTTCTTGTTGACTATCATCATCTTATCTCAACTATTCATTTAACCAGTTTTATTATTCACTATTCAAAAACTGTAAATAATTCTTATCATTCAAAATAATTAAACATTAATTATTGTCATGTTTAAGTATCATGAATAGAATAGTGTTTCGTTTGAATATTCAATCTACAGAATAACATCTCATTTTCATTCATATGCATATTATTTTTCCCTTCTCCCGTTTATTGCTTATTCCTTTAGTTGTGTAATTTTCCTTTTTTTTAATTATTACACATTGTATATGTGTAGACTTAATAAACTCTAATACCGAACATCATAAATACCCACTTCAGTTTGCCTATTTATTTACCATCACTAAACATCATATCAAAATATATATGTAGTTGTGTTATTATTTTTTTAAGAATAATAATAAATTACATTTACAAAAATCAAATATATAAATCACAATAAGTAATAACTAGTGTGAGTATATTGTTGACTTATTCTTCCTCGATCTCTCACTGTCTTTCACTTTCCGTCTCCCCCTCTGTCTCTCACTCATCATGTCTATATGTTTTATGTTCTCTATCAGGTTGTTCTCTATTCTTTTGTATATTTCACTAACTGTTTTCTTTTAAATTTTTTTGTCTACTTTTCTTTACATTAATTGTTTTGTTTCAATAAACAAAAAATAGTATAATCCTTCCTACATTATTTGTGTTACTTTTTTTTACAAAAAAAAATTAAATGTTCAATACACGCTAATCTGATGTTTATCAATTATTGTTTTATTATATTCTCCTTAGTTCATAAATAAGTTTGTTTATTTTTTATCCTCAATACTCCCTCTCTCTCTCGCCCTCTCCTGTAATAGTAGTTATGCAACACCAGTTTCGACATTTAATTTTCTCCACTTTTTTAAAATAACAACTTTTTGAAAATATGCAAATTTAGTGGTGGTTAGTTGATCATGAAAGAATTTGGTGAGGTATAAGTTGGGAATAAATAATAATAATAATAATAATAATAATAATAATAATAATAATAATAATAATAAAGCAACACTAGTAACATTACAAGAACTCGAAATGTTTGTTGTTGTGAGTTGGGTTTTTTTATTTCAAGGGGGAAAAGTTTTATTTTACTTTGACATTTTAGTTATTTTTTCATTATAATAATAAAAACATCAATGGGAGTAGTATTAGTGTTACTGGCAGTAGCAATAGTAATGGTAACAATAATAATAATAATAGTAATAATAATAATAATAATAATAGTATTTCTATATATGCAACATATAGAAACCCACAAATAATGACAATTATATTTATTCTAAATGTAATTTAAATAATGCATCTTTTGCGTGTCATCTCAATATGACTTAAAACAAGGATTACATAGGATAAGAACAGATTGTATTTAATTTTTATAAAGAGAACTTCAATTCTAATGTTAAGCAAATTTGGATTCTATTTGAGTATAATAAAATATTATTGAAAGAATGGTACTAAGTATCATTCTATCACATAGACACATTGATAAATATTTGGTTCATATAATCTTACGAAACAAAAGTTAAGATACATAATTTAATAGTTTCACTACAAATAGTTTTAATTCGTTCAAATACACTTGTCTATATTCAGTTTCATTGTTTACAACAACTTCAGAAGTCATACGTTTCATTCTTATTGCAGTTTCATTTTTTATCGCCTTACATAACAGTTTTGCATTTTTAAAACATATCTAAATAAGAGGTATTTATATCCGGTGATTAGGTTGAGAGTTCGAGTTATAACTTACTTACATACTTACTTACGCCTGTTACTCCTAATGGGGCATAGGCCACCGACCAGCATTCGTCAACCCACTCTCTTCTAGGCCTTCTTTTCTAGTTCCATCCGATTCTTGTTCATTTTCCTCATGTCTATCTCCATTTCCCAGCTTAACCTGTTCTTTAGTCTTCTCCTCCTTTGGTCTTCAGGATTCCGTGTGAGGGCTTGTCTTGTGACTCAGTTCGGTGCTTTCCTCAATGTGTGTCCTATCCACTCCCTGCACTTCTTCCTGATTTCTTCCTCCGCTGGGATCTGGTTTGTTCTCTCCCACAGTACGTTGTTGCTAATAGTGTCTGGCCAACAGATCCGAAGTATTTTGTGTAGACAACTGTTAATAAACACCTGTATGTTCTGGATGATGGATTTCGTAGTTCTCCAGGTTTCCGCCCCATACAGTAGAACTGTTTTGACATTTGTATTGAAAACCCTGATCTTGGTGTTGGTTGACAGACAGTCCTTTTGAGTTCCAGATATTCTTCAATTGTAGGTGTGCTGCTCTTGCTCTGCTGATCCGCACCTTCACATCTGCATCAGATCCACCCTGTTCATCAATGATGCTGCCCAAATATGTAAAGGTACTTACATCTTGCAAATCTTCTCCATCAATTGTGATTTGACTAGTGCATGTTGTGTTGTATCGGAGAATCTTGCTTTTCCCTTTGTGTATATTGAGACCTACTGTTGCTGAGACTGCTGCTACACTGGTCGTCTACTCCTGCATTTGTTTTCGGGTATATGATAGAAGAGCCAGATCGCCTGCAATGTCTAGATCCTCCATGTTTGTCCTAGATATCCCTTGTATCCCATGCTTCCCCTCAGATGTTGACGTCTTCCTGATCCAGTTGATCACCAAGAGAAAGAGAAAGTTGTGAGAGCAAGCAACCTTGCCAGACAGCGGTCTTTACTTCGAACGAGTCTGTCAGCTGTCCTTCATGGAAGATTTTGCAGTTTAATCGATCATAGGAATGTTGTATGATATTGACTATCTTCCCAGGTACACCGTAGTATCGAAGAAGCTTCTGTAGTGCTGTTCTGTCCAGGCTATCAAATGCTTTTTTGTAGTCAACGAAGTTGATGTAGAGTGATGAGTTCCATTCAATTGATTTTTCCACAATGATCCGTAGTGTTGCGATTTGGTCTGTACACGATCTATCCTTACGGAATCCTGCCTGTTGTTCTCAAAGTTGGGGTCTATGTAAGCTATAAACTTCTTGACAATTATGCTGAAAGACCTTTGTAGCTCAGCTAGCATATACATTAGACTAAAATGATGCATTTAGTAATGGTTATTTGTTTATTTATAAGATTACTTGTAAGGGTTTGTATTTTTCAGTTCTTGGTATTAAGGACTGTAAATAACCACTATCCATTGGTATTTCGGCATATTAGTCGGTTCGTCTAGACATAACCGTTTAGCTACAAGTTTTAACACATTTAGATTCCGGTTACCAGTAGAATCAAGGTCAAGCACCCAGCCCTATCTAGAACACCTTACGCGGATATATTTAGATCTCTATGTTAATGCTCATACTGATAATCGAACCTGGTACCTATTACTTTGAATATCAATGCTCTATACACTATGACCTTGATTCTGTAAAACAACGGACTTGCTCAGCGTGCAATAAAGTATCTGTAAGTCTGCATTTTCCGGTATTTCACAATGAGGATAACTTGGCAGCGTTTGAAGCGATGTGCACTAGTATCCACTCTCAGTATGAGTATCAACAGTTGGATTCAAGTACACCGAGCTGACTAGTCCTAGATAAGAAGAAACGCGCTTCCTGGATCCTACTACTAGACATAATCTAAATATCATAGTTTGTTTTGTTAAAAATCAAATTTCATGAAAAAACTGAGTACCTTAACTAGTACAAAGAAGCATGATTTATCGATAAATCTTATTTACTTTTAATGTATAATTAATGAAAGGAAAAAGGTGTCTTGACCAACTGATCAAAAAGATTAACTTTAATGATTAAAAATTTATAAGGCTGTACGTTATTCGGTGTTTACCCACGGAAATGAAAAAACCTATTCTATGATATTATGGTGCATGATACTTATAAAAACATATGTGTCGAGAGTTGGAAGATTTTTACTGACAGAGGAGGAACATGAGGCGAAGAAAGAGAAAACAAAAAGCAGTTAGAGTACCAACAAGAATGAGAGAACGATGGAGTTTGTAAAGGACGATTCAAGGAAGATGTACAAATGGTGTATTCAATGTGTCGTTTTCATATTTTTCAGATGTTGTGTATAATTTTCCTTCAATTATTAGTATGCATATTTTCTATTATTTAGATTTCAAACAAAACCTGTACCACTTCTTCGAGTAAAACCAAAAGATGAAATTATTTTTGTTTGTGCCCAAGAATCACTTTACATATTATGGGTAAGTTAATTTTGTGTCATTTGAATTGTAATAAAAATCCTTAATAATTTTGTGTTGTGTATTAGATGTTTAGTCAATATCTTCAGTATTAGAAAGGGTTTTTGGAGATTGTAGTAATTTCAACAGTTGAGATCATGAGTCATTTGAAGCTACACTACCATGGAAAACCTGAAAGCACTGGACGGCCGTTTCGTCCTATTGTGGGAATCCTCAGAAGTGAGCATCCACGCCCCCGCCTCTCAGGATTCGAACCTAGGACCTATCGGTCTCTTCAGTATTACCTAGAGGAAATCACAAGTTGAAATCAATCAATATTGACTTTATATAAACTGTAGAAAATATAAAAAAGATTAAACATTGAAAAGGGTTATAGTTTTATGTTAACTCGTCAAGGCAGTATTACGTGAACTACAAAACTGTTTTTGAAATTGTACGTTACATTTTAAACAATGAAACACTACTGTTTCTGCAGAGTGGACTTATTTGTCATTGTTCTGTTTAGAACTATTCAAGAAAATACTCATTCAAATCTATAGTAAAAAGAGTATCATTGATTCAACTAAGTACGGATGTAGTGAACAAGAACACCAGTGGGGACGATCGAATGTATTTGACACAAAATTACAGAACTTGTTAATAAAATCTAACAACCATGTAGTAAATGCAAAATGACCACCAATTGTCGCAAAATGGCCCAAACTTCATTGTTCTTGTATTTTCATACAAATTACATTGTTTCCATTCTTTACTGTTCGATCCTCTTGTCTCTCTGCTGCCAGACCTTCTGTTCACGACTAACACCATATACTACTTATGCCAATATATGTAGCACACATCATACGGAGACTAGTTTGTTGTCATTATGTAGTCTACTAGGACGAAAATCAAGAAACGTTGGACAGCTGTTTTTTTCCAGAAATGTAAAGATGTACTTCAGTGATTGTATTCAACAAACAACTTTGTTTTCTACGTTACTGAATTCATTCCATTTAATAATGAGAAATATTTTCTTAAACAGAGGTAATTTAGCCATTGAAGAATAAGCAAAACAACACAGTGAAGAAATTTTTCAGTCAGACGATACCATTTATCTGAGACCTAGATTACATCAGTGGGCAACAATAAATTTACTTGTTCTTGTGCCCAAACTTATATTGGGTGCACGAACCTAACACTCTCTAATTATATCTCGGAACATTAATAAGAGCAATTTTTAAAATAAAGAATGAAAATCAATCATCAACTCAATATATTAACATCTCATCAATTCTAGTGACGTCTTTCAATTAGCATTATCTTCCAAAATCATCCCTGCAGTTAAATGGGTTGGTCTAGAATGAAGCATATAAAAGCCTTGATAATCCAAAGGTTCAAACCTGAACTCTGTTTGTAAAAGTAGTATATATAACCTTTCATTTTACCATATTCCGAACATTCCTATTAATTTTACTTACTCAATGGTCAGTTGTTATTACCCTCTTTTGATTTTTCATAATTATTATTCAGTCTTTATTATCACCACGTTTTCCATTACTTCCTTATATTTATCAGGTGTATGATAATCTCTCATAGTTCTGTTCCGTAAACTATTTTTTTGTACGTTAGAAACTTACGTAACTTTCTTATGATACATGATGTTTCCGAACACTAAAAGATACAATCATTTTTTAGTAGACTGTTATACGTGTTGAATAACTATAAATATGGCCGTACAGATCCAGTTAATAATATCGTAAAAAATTAAACTTTCTCAAGTGAATTGTTCTTATTTCTTCTTTAATGAAGACCTATTTATGTAATGTGGGTTTCGTAGTAAATGGATTATCCATTTAACCTATTCACTACTTATTTGTCTTGAACTAACGGAGATAACTCCTAGCTTTGTTTCGATAGCTAAATACTAAAATTCCTATTTCGTTTCTAGCAGAAGTTATATGTACAATGATCTTGGAATTAGATCTTAAAAACGAAACACGCTTGAAGAACCGTGAACTAATAAGAAAGAAGCTATCTCAAACATAGTAAAACTAAGTTATAGCTTCTGTGGGGAATTTCGGTACGAAAAATGTTAACTCGAATTTACGAGATAATCAATAGATGGTTTTTTGAGAATATAACAACCTTGACAACTATGCAGTGTTATCATCCTTAACGGGATGAAGGTTTATAGAGAATATATGATTAGGAACTTTTTATCATTGACTGACAACCATTCGAAAACAAATGAAAAATCCAAACTTAACAATTTCCACGCAATCCCAATTTGATAATGAGAGTGTAATTATAAGTAACTAACGAAGGAGTTGGTACTGGTAAGAAATCGTGATCCTGTAGTGGCAACCACATGTAGAATGATACTATTGGATGACTGAAGTTGGAAATATAGGATACTGTATTCCAAATCAATTACTCTAGGCTATTACCACAAGATCTTAATAGCCTGAGTTTCATTGCAGACAGAATCGTAGTTATATACTGATGAAGAAATTTAAACTAAAACGATCTATTCAATAATTCTTGATCTATGATACGTCATAAGCTTCTTTGCTTTTCACAGTAAAGTATAATTTTCTTCGAAATAATTTAAGTTTCCATAAATGTTTTATTACTTTTTTTTGTCTTCATAGACTTATGAATTCAAAGTATTTGAATCATGTTCAATGTGGTTAAATGATAATCTTATGGTTAATCTTTTATTAAGATGTCCAGATAAATCAAATCGAAAATTACAAATGCGTCAAAGTACTAATAACATTCCAAAAGATAAATTAAACTTGAAATATTCCCACAATTCATTCATTAAAAATCAATCAAGTTTAATGGGAAATAGTTCAATAGTTGAAAAGAACTATATAAAATTAAATAAATATTCTAAACGTTCTACAAAAATATTCAATAAACGATCGTCATCATCAACATCTTTGAAGTCATTAATTTCACATTCTCCATTAATTGATCGTAAAAAACATCCATCACAATTTACGTTATTAGTAGAAGAATTCGCATGGGCTAATGGAAATCCAAGTTTTCCTGTAAATCGTCCAGTTTATTTTCTTGGTAAGTATTTACATTTTCAACCTCATTAATACTATTTCACTATTTTATTCTTTATTTTGTCATTACGTAGTAGTAGTAATAGTCGCTATCATTTTATCTGAAGGGGATTTTGTAGAGATTTTAGAAATTTCACAGATTGAAATCATGAGCCAATTGAAGCTAGACTACCATGAAAAACCTGGGAGCACTGGACGGCCGTTTCGCCCCAGTATGGGACTCCTCAGCGGTGCGCATCCACGAACCCGCATCGCGGGACTCGAACCCAGGACTTATCAGCCACGAAGTTGCGCCAACGTACACCATTGTCTTCAGTGAGTTGATATCTCACAACAGACCTGGTTGAACTCCACTAGTAACGGCTTCTCATTAGAACTCCAGGAGTATCTCTTGAAGTCAGTCACTAGTGAACAGATGATTGTTATCAGAAGCGGATTTTGTCGAGATTCTAGAAAGTTCATTTTTGTCTAGACTTTAACATTGATCAAATTCTATCAATCAAGTTATCATATGGTTATATCAGTTTATGTCATTCAACATTGTGTAATGTTAATTGATTAAAGGAGATCGAAATGAATCACTAAACCTTTATTTCATGTAATTTAGCACTCACTAGCAGGACATATCAATTCTCTTACAATTTTACATACACTTTATAAAATCTAGTTTGATGAGTGAAAGCAGAATGAATATTTAGGTCAACTGAGTGTTATTAAAGTCAGAAAATCTATAATAATAAGACTGAAGTTAAGAATTCATAATCTGTTCATAACTTAACACCATTATCATAATTTTTCGTTGAATTACAAATGAAGAATTATTAAAAATTCTTAAAATTTTGAATGGCTGGAATATTTCATACAATTTGTATTCTAACTAAACTAGACTGATCCATAAATTGACTATATTCACATTCACACTAATAATAAGTAATATTCGTCTTGGATGTTTTGTTAAATATTTCATTTTCAATAAAATTATTTATCATTATCCAGGAAAAGCTTTTGTTTGCATATCCTAAAGTTAACTACTAAAATATGCCTAATACTAACAACATAACTTTGTCAATATAATCTCTAGGATCACGTGTACAAACCACACTAAATTGTCTTCTATATAACTTATATAACTTATATATATAATTTAGTGAGTTGTAGATTTGTAAGAGTAGGCAGTGTAGCTAGAGAATCGCATTAGGAGATTTAAGTTGACCGCAAAGGGAAATTATTCAACGTCTAAATGACCTTTTTAAGTAATGATGGATAGCGGCTAGTAGTGTAATCCAGTTTAGACGCGCGTTTCGTCCTATTTGGGACTCTTCAGCGGGATGTACCTGCATTCCGGAGTTGATGTTCACTGTGAGACTCGAGCCCGGTACCATTCGCTTCAAGCGTCATCGTGTTATTCACTTAGCTGCTGAGTTTTAGTAGCCACTTGCTTGTGCAATGAGGTGACGTTTAAATCCACTTGCTGTTGTTTTACTTGCATCTTCCCATTGTTATTTAAAACTGCAATTGGTCAGTCTCATGTTGGCATATGTGCATCCATCTTTGCTTAAAAAGCTTGTGATTTAAGGCTCTATCGAGACAATCCACTCAGAATGCATATATGCCAACATGAGACTGATCAATCGCAGTCGTAAATAACAATGAGAAGAAATAAGTAAAACAACACCATGTGAGTTTAAATGACCTGTCAATAGAATGGGATTCACAGGATATTGCGGTCCGATCACAGTAAAAGTCATTTTTAGCTCCATTTTTCGATAGATAATCCTAAAATATAATTTCGCAATAAATTATATTTGCTGGTCAATTTATTAGTATTTTAGAGAGAGCGGACTTGATTTTAAGACTGTTTCTACACAATTCAAACTATTCGTCCAAAAAATAATAAAATTAAGAATTCAGTGTTGAAGTTGTCAAGATTGCTGTATTTCATTGAGATCACTAACCAATCGAAGGTTAACAACCACTGAAAACTTCGAAACACTGGATAGCTGTTTTGGTTAATTATAGATGGTCATCCACCATTCTACCACCGAAGGTTAAACACAAGAACTTCAGTATCACACCTGAATTTTAACCTCTGGATCACTGATTTAGTGGTGATCCAGTATTGTATAAATCTATAGCATCTGAGTTTTCACCGGTTGTCTTACTTAAATAGATTTGTGATCTCAATAAAGGTGATGGGATTCTAATATTTCATGATAATAGGCAGACTTGAAATGATTATGTTCCAGACAACAATCTTAGCCAAAGTTACATCCGGTTATGTTACTTCAGTGTAATCATTTATATGGTCTTATAGCTCATTTAAGGATATAATGGCTTATGTTCATTGTTAAAAGCGAGTTTATCTCGTTACAACACTGAATAAGCGTTCTACAGTTAATTTTTGAAGACAAACACAAACCTGGAACTTTTACTTGACAGCTACACATAAATGGCTGTATATAACGTAAGTTAAATTTATCGGTAAGATGGTTTGCATCACAAACTGAATTCAACTATAAAACCACTCAAAACCAAAGAACAATTGGTAGTCATTTCAATTCATCTTGGACACATCTCAACTATAAACATTTACAACCTTACCAAAGACTAAGCCTAAGATCTTCATATCATATTAGGAAGTATATAATATTTTAACCTGTTCAGTCAGAGTTCATTGGTCCATATTTCTAATTCCATTCAATTCCCAATATTACCCAATTCAAACTAAGATAAAGTAACTCTCTATTACTTCTAATTTATTCTTTATAGTTATCTAGTTGAGGTCAGTTTAGTTTATAAACTATCTTTAAGTTTCACAATACTCTACAAACATCCAATTTAACTGTAATAAGAATTTTTTTTGAATCCAAGTCTTGAAAATTCTATTCAACAAACGAATATAATGTGAAACATCTTGTCATTTAATAAAATATGACCTTAATAGTAAAATTTATTCACTTGATAGATTGACCTTTACTATTCTAATAGTTCCATGTCATAACTTTTAAGATGAATAATTATTTCCAATTGCTTTCACATAGTTTGTTTTCTCTAAACTTCTACAAATTCATTCACACTAGAATTCAGCTGAAGCATATAACTAAAAGAACAAACAAACAAAAAAGAAGAAGTCATAGTTTAACTGAATTAAATGAATCTAATATTTTAAGTAAACTTTCGTGAAAACTAATTAACTAAACATTAAGTAATTTTAATAGTTGAAATCATTAGTCAATTGAAGCTAGACTACCATGGAAAATCTGAAAGCATTGGATAGCCGTTTCATCCTACTGTTGGACTCCTCAACAGTGCACATCCACGATCCCGCCTCACGGGATTCAAACCAAGGACCTGCCAGTCTCGGACGTGAGCGCTTAACAGTTAGACCACAGAGCTGATCAGCATCCAACGGTGTTAATGTCTAACTTCACTGAAGTTAATGGTGAATGTGGTGCTCAATTTCGTGGATTGGTTGAAGTTAGACATTAACACCGTTGGATGCTGACCGGCTCTGTGGTCTAATAGTTAAGCGCTCACGTCGAAGACTGGCAGGTCCTTGGTTCGAACCTCGTGATGAAGGATCGTGAATGTCATTATCTCAACTATTAAACTTACTATAATATCCACAAAGCCTATTCTGACACTAATAATTAATTATCGGTTGATTTAATGATAAAATCTGACAGCTTATGTATTCAAACAATAGAATAACCATGAATCATACATGAAGAGAGGATCATTCATTAGAAACTTACAAAGGTATCGAATGTGATTAAAGACAAATAAGAACAAGAAAAAAACAGACAATTATGTTTAAATCAAACAGTGAAAATATGAATGAAACAAATCAGTATTGTATAGTAGACAAGTGAACAGTACATCAAGTAAAATTATACACTAATATTAAATACACCGAGAAAAATGAATGAAAAAAATAAAGAATAAAATGAGGACACAATAAAATATGATAAAAAAATGTGCTAAAAGAAAGAATAAACGTGAAAAGCAAAAAATGAAAAAAGAATAAATAAAGAAACAATCCAAAAATAAGTCGAAATTGAAAAAAAGAACTAATGAAAAGAAAAATTTAAAATGACGAAATCAAGTAGAAACCTACAAAGGAATCAAACAGAAAAAAGTCGATAAAACACGATGAATAAAAGACAGCGAAAAAATCCAAAATAAAACATGCAAAAACGACAAACAAATAATAATAATAATAAAAGAAGATACGGAAACATGAAGAACAGAAGTACTATAGAAAAATTGAGAGAACAACTACAGAGTGATACAGAAAATGTGAGACAGTACGAGGATATGGAAATAGGACAAATAAAAATAAGCGCTAAAGGGTAGTGTTAAAAAACTTCAATTATTAAATCAAGACACTGTCAAAAACCAAAAAAGAACTACTTAAAAAGAGATAGATATAATAAAAATAATCATGCAAAAACAACTCTCTCAGGAATATAAGATCTCAGAAGATTACGCAAAAAAAATCATAAGCGAATTAATTCAAAATCACGGCGCTGCAATAAAATGGAAGCTTAAAGGTGACAAAGTTGGCAGGACTAAAGAGACACTCCAACGGGAATAGAACCTACAATTTTCTGGTCCGAAGTCAGATGCCTTATCCATTAGGCCACGGAGCCCACGACTTCCCATCCATCGTCTCATCTCACACCAACCGTCCACATCAACTCACCTCACACACACAAACCTACAAACACACACACACACACATTCATGCACAATCGCTCATCAGTCACCACTCACTGTCTCAACCAAACACTCAATACTGATCAACAACACCATAACAAACTTACTTTCGTCACATCCAACTACACGCATATGCAATTATCCATGCACATTCGACTCCAAATATATGCATGTATATATATATATATATATCTATATATATATATATATATATATATATATATCTATATATATATATATATATATATATAGTTATATTTATATTTATATAATTGTTCGTGGAAA